TGTACAGGAAACAAGTTTACAAAAGAACTTCTAAAACATGGCTGTCCTGCCAGCCCTTGGGAGCAGTTATATTACAAGTGACTCATACATTGTACTTGGTAAAAATATAGGAAGAACCTTATAGAGTAAGAGTGCATTTTATGTGAATATCTTTGCTTTTTTTTGTTCTCATTCATTCATTCATTCATTTTGCTCAGAATGTTTTACAGCGTCCAAAACCACTAGCCCAGGGGTGGTAACAGCCAAAGGCTTGCCCACAGGCCAGTTTAGCCGGTCATTTTACAGAATGAGATTCCTTCTTCCACATGACTCTGGCTTGTGCAAAGTTGACATAAAACTAACTATCAGTCAGATTCAAGGGAAAGACTCTATTAAGGTTGTTTGAATCCAGCAAAGCAAGCCTTTCTCAGAATTAACCATGTATATTAATAGCTACACAGGCTGAGAGATAGCTTTAGTGCTTTGTTGCTTCTAGAGGACCAGAGTTCAGTTCCCAGCACCAGTATGGTGGCTCACAATCCTTGGTCAGTTGAGTTCCAGGAAATTCGACATCATCTTCTGAACTCTGCAGGCATGCTTGTCATACACATACATGCAGACAAAACACATACATAAGTGACTTTTTTTTTTTTTTTAAGAATTTGCTACGGAGTTTGTTTAAATAAGGACATTCAAATAATTTCTGCTAAGACCTGATGCCCACACTTTTGGGAACTCTTTGAAGTTCTGGCATTCCATTCTGGAAAGTACGGAATTTTGCTAAGTGCTTGTCACTGTTGTGGAAAATGGTGTTGTCAAGCCAGACATGATGGCACATGCCTATAACCCCAGCACTTCTGAGACAGAAAACAGGATTGCTGCTAGTTTGAGGCCATCCTGGATTACAAAACAAATTCTGTACTAGTGTGGGCAGTACATATCAAGATGATGTCTCAGAAAGAGTGGACTGAGGTAGGGAGAGAATGCTGTTGTTGTGGTTGTTAGCATTTTATGATTGTTGGGTGAGTGGTTTTGGTACTTTCTGGGTTCTTTTACATAGATTATCTCATAATCACCACACCACTTCTTGATAGATAGGTGCAGTTCAAGGTTGAGGAAATAGCTCACTGAATAAAGCACTTGCCACACAAGCAGTTTGGATATGAAGAGCTAGGTCCAAATGGTGAGCTGAGCCACATGTCAGCGTTCAGAAGCTAGAGATGGCATCTATCTCAAAGGGTTGTATAGTCAAAACAGGTGCAAGGCCTGGGATTCAGTCTCTGGTCGGGGGAGGGGGGCACGCAGAGTTAGGTATAGTGATGCCTGCTTACAATTCTAGGCTAATGCTGGTGGACCACAAATTCAAGGATAAAACCTGGGGCTTATTTAAATGCCTAGAAAGACTGTTTAGAAGATCAAGAAGATGAATCATGGATCACTGAGCAAAATGGTTTGTTTCTGGCTATTTTTCTGTTATTCTTGGTATGGTATTATGTGTGTTCTTTTTGTTGTTGCCTTAATGCTGCATGTATTTGTATTTGTATGTTCTCTTAGAAAATGAATGAGTTCTTTGTTTTGTACAAGATCTTACTGTGTAGCCTGGCTGGCCTCTTAACTCAGCAGTCCTCTTGCCTCTGCTTCCTGAATATTGGAACTACAGACCACATGATTTCAACACTAACATGAGAGTGGAAGCAATTCTGTCACAGCCTCTCAAGTGTTATTATGGGCATGAACCTCTATAATCCAACTAACCTTAAGATTTTTTTTTTCTTTCCCCTTTTTTGGGAGGGGGGTGTTTCGAGACATGATTTCTCTGTGCAGCCTTGGCTGTCCTGGAACTCACTCTGTAGACCAGGCTGATCTGAGATTCACCTGCCTCTGCCTCCTGAGTACTGGAATCAAAGGTGTGCTGCCACCACCCAGCTGACCTTAAGCTTTCTATAGCTCTAACTAGAGTGTGGGAGAATTTTGTTTTTGTTTTTCAAGACAGGGTTTCTCTATGTAGCTTTGGAGTCTATCCTGGCACTCACTCTGGAGACCAGACCTGGCCTTGAACTCACAGAGTTCCGCCTGCCTCTGCCTCCCGAGTGCTGGGATTAAAGATATGCGCCACCAACACCTGGCGGGAGAAATTTTTAAAATGACATAATTTGCTAATGAAAAGCTTGAACCATTTAAAGTGTACAATTTTATTTTTGTCATTTGTACAGAGTTGTATAGTCTGGATTATGGTAACAAATGATCCAGTTTTAGGATATTTTTGTCACACTCCACAAAGAGACCTTGAACTCATTAGTAGTCATTCTCTATGTCCTTGCTAGTTCCAGAAAACCAGCAATTCTATTTTCTGTATGTGTATAGTTGCCTATTAGGAAAATGTTGAATTGCTTAGTGGTAGTGTTTGCTTGACATATGGGAGTCCTGGGGTTTGATCTACAGCACCCAAAAGAAATCGAGATTGTTAATTAACCATTTGTGATTGGTATGCAGATGATAGCTGTATTTTCTACTTCTCAATGAAGTGAATTTTAATGCTTGTGTCTCCCTTGACCTTCAATTGTCTATATTCTACCCTGCAGTGCCACTGATAGCAATGTTTAAAGTAATGACCAGAACTGGTGAAAATTCCATCATTGTGATTTTTGACAAACTAAGTAATAGGATTAGAATGTGTTGTTTCAACCAAGCCAAAAAAGGGGGTGTGGTGGGGAGATAGCAGGTATAAAATGGATTTTTGGTGAATTAACTTGTGAAGAAGGAGATAGGTGACTGAGTCTAATTTGTATACCAGCCTTACTGGTTAAGTGCAATTTTTTGTGATCATTCATTCTTTTCTAATTCCAGTTTAAGGAACAACCTTATTTCTTTAAAAACTTACATTGAAGGCATCTTTTAAAATTTGGATTCATGACTTTTTGCTCTCTTTGACACTGTTACTTATTTGGCCATACATGTTACATAGTAAACAAAGTGATCATGAAGCAAGCTGTTTGGTTTTGTCTTGTTACCTACTATTAACATTATACTGATGAATGTGCAATAGCTTGAGTGGTGTGCAGGCTTCATGCTGATAATCACAACTGATGAGAATTCAAGAAGAGTACAGTAGACATGTCAGGCCTAGAAGAAAATGTTCCACAACACTCTGCCCATCTACCCCGTCCTCCAACTCTTAACATACTTTTGGGATGTTTCCTGAGCCTTGCAGAGTGTGATAGAGAAATCCCAGTTAAGGCTCATCTTTCAACAGTTCTGCTATTCTCAGCACTTTGACCAGTTAGGAGTCTCTATAGTAAGCACATAACCTACTGCCAAAGGAATCCTCTGTAACCACAGCTGACAGCAGCACTGGTGCATGGGCATAAACAAAAATATTTAGACGGCATTAGATAGGCACAGTCTCCAGTTAACGGTATAATAGTGGAAGCTTCCCCACTGGGGCCTATGAGTTTGTTCCCCAGCCACAGACTTAGCCAAGTTTACAGTATCAGATGTGGATTCCTTCCTGTGGAGCTAGCTTCAAATTCAGTCAGAAAGTGCATAGTTAGCTCCATAACAGACCTGTCACTGTTGGACCTGTTTTCATGCAATTGTATGTTTGATTATGTATGTATGTATGTATGTGTTTATATATAGAGAGAGAGAGTATGTGTTTAATGATACTATATATTGTGTGTTTAATGATCTTTTACTTTGACTTAAGATTTTAGGGAGCAAATTTGTTATAACTGAATATGGGCTCCGTCAGTAAAGGTCTGAAATTAGAGCCAGCTGTATTTGTCTTGAATGTCACATTTGAAAACCCCTGCAGTTCTGATGAATGTTATTAAAGAGATAATAGTATTGAGTATCTGCGACCACTAGTTAATAAAATAAGCAACTCTAAAGAAGGAAGGAAAGAAAAAAAATACCACCTGGGAAGCAGTAGTACAAATTTTTAATCCTAGCCGGTAGGTAGAGGCAGTTGGATCTCTGAGTTCCAGGACAGGCAGGGCTACCTTTTCTCCAAACACAAAACAAACAAACAAAAAAACCAAGCAAAAGAAAAAAATGAGCACAGCATATTATATAGTAAAGTATTTTCTAGGAAAATCTTCATATTCTGTGTTAATACTGATATTTTAGAATCAATGCTATTGGAGCAAAATTGTAAAGATATAGAATTAAACCAATTAACCTAGAGACTGGTATTTAATGTTCTTTTTTGGTCTTTGACAGGATCTTATCTCATCTTTTAGTTTAGGCTGGCCTCAAACTGCCTCGGGCTCCTGATTGCTAAAGTTACAGGCATGGCCAGCATTCTGATGTTATTAAGTGATAACAAATTTTTCTTGAGCAGATAAATATAATCATGTGTGTTGTTGCTACTTTTTTTGTTTGCTTTTGGACATGAGTTTCCCTGTGTAGCTTTGGAACTGTCCTGGAACTTGCCTGCCTCTGTCTCCTGAGTGTTGGGATCAAAGGGGTTCACCACCACTGTCAGGCTGGTGCTACTCTTGTAATACTAAACTTAAGCAAAAATGTGATTCCTTTTCAAGGAAGAACAAATAATTGAAGTTTGGTTGGGTATGAAGGGAATTGGGAGCTAATGATCTTTCTGAAGTGTGTGGGGTGGCTGGTGGAGTCATTTCTTCCATTGCAAAGTTAGTCTAAGATTGAAGGATTTGTCCAAGGTTGGGAAATGATACAGATGATTACAAAATTGAATTATGTTGGTGGGAGTAGTTATTAAGTGGTCATGCAGGAGGGAAAGGTTCTTACTACTCTTTTTGAGCACTGTATTTAATCACTGGGTTTGTCTTGTGACTAGAGAAAAGGTTCCCTTAAATAAAAAAATGTAAAAGTCTTTGTTTGAGACAGATTCTCCTTATCTGTGTATGGCTTAAAATTCAGCAGCTCTTAGTCTCCCAAGCCCTGAGAGAGCTACCATTCCTTACATAAGGAATATGTAAGAATTTACATTTTATGATATTAAGTGATGATGTTTTGTATTGACTTTTGTTTTCTTGTTTTGTTAGGTGGTATGGACAAGAAAAAGACTATAATGTGCTAGTCATGGATCTTCTGGGGCCCAGCCTTGAAGATCTCTTCAATTTCTGTTCAAGAAGGTTCACTATGAAGACCGTACTTATGTTAGCTGACCAGGTGTGTGAACTTTTGAGAAAAATAAACCCAGAAAAGATATATATGTATGTCAGCATTTCATAGACCAGAATATTATAACTGCATGTGCCACTATTTCTCTTCAAAAAACATAAAATGATTGTTGTCCTACAGTAGTAGGGTATTTGTTCACGTGGACTTTAATGTATGTGTTCCTCTGGAATAAACAGTTTCATGCAGCATTCTGTATTTTACTGGGCGTGGTGGCACAGACTCTTAGAATCCCAGCATTTGAGAGGCTGAAGAGGGATTACCAATTCAGGACCAGCCTGGGCTTTATACAAGATCCTGTCTCCGATGAATAAAGAACAACAGCCAAGAACTATTTGAAAAAAAAATAAAATAAATAAGGTGCCAGAGCAACTAAAGATGAATCTTTAGCCAAATTGATGCTTAAAGTAATAAAATCTGGAGCATTAATGGCATTGAAGCAACATTAGGACATTTTAGAGGGGACTAAATTTGCCTTTCTTTTTTGTGGCCCAACCTGGCTTCAAACTCCCACTGGGGAAAACAAAGTAGAATAAATAGTCCCTTCTATGAGCTTAAAGTCAAAAAGAGAGAGATAAAAAAAATAGCTAGTCAAGGTAACCTGAGAAAGAAAATTGCTAAGGACTCTAAGGCTTTCTTGCAATATAGTCCTTAGCAATTATTCACTATGTTGAGCAGGTTGGTTGGTCTTCAACCCTTAGAGATTCATTCGCCTTTGCCTCCTGAATGCTAGGCTTACAGTTGAGTACTACCAAGTTTTTAATCATTCATGCTAGCAGAACAGGCCAAAAGCCACAGAAGTTAGGCCTAGATAGCTAGCAAGCTTGAAATAAATAAAGGGCTTTGTTCTTTCATTTATTGTTTTGTAGTGCTGCCATTATAGATTATGAATAATTGAAAGACTGGAGTACTTGAGAAATTATTAGTTGTTTCTATTAGCACTTAACTATTTTTACCCTTTTTCTTTTTCAGATGATCAGTAGAATTGAATATGTGCATACAAAGAATTTTATACACAGAGACATAAAACCAGATAACTTCCTAATGGGTATTGGGCGTCACTGTAATAAGGTTAGTTTAAAAGCTCTTTGCATGAAAGAACAAAGAGTAAAATTTTGAAGCGAATTGCTTTGATAAACTTTTCAATCTTTGAATTTGCTGTAATCTGCTTAAGAGATTGTGCTAGAAGGATAATCAGCTAACTCTATTAACTTAGTAGCTTAGAATATATTCTCTCCAACATACCCAACCAAGGTTAGTTTGTTTATGTGAAAATATAAAATTCCAAGGGCTTTTAAATGAGTTTTAATCATCTATATTTAACTTGGACAGTTGTGTCTGGTTTTCATTCACTTAAATAGTGAAAACATTTATATAGTCCTTCCTGAATGGTGTAAATCAGATTTTAACCTTAGACTCTAAAGTGTGGGTTTTGTAATACATGTGCTTGTATGGCAACCACTGACCCATCTGTCACTATGGCATTAACCTTTGCTGGCACATGATGGTTGATACTGACAGTCCTTGGATTGGTGTATTTAAAAGAGTAACTTTTTGGGCCTGCTTCAAAATTAGCTTACAGTTTCTTACTTGGGTTCCCAGTTGGGTGAGTTCTCCACCCCCTCCTCTACGCTATTACAGGAAAATACTGACCAGTGATTGAACATTCGTATAGTAGTGTGCTTATTGGGGGTTTCTGACAATGGGTTCCATATATGGGCGATTAGGTTGTAGTGACGCATGATTGCAGTTAGAAACTAATTATATTGAAATTTTGTCTGCAATGCTTAGTTTTATTGAGTGAATTGCTTTCTTTATTCATTCAATGTTGAGCTCGGGCAGACAGGCAGCATTGGCAATGCACGAAGCATGTTCCAATCTGATCTCAGAAATTTCTCAACTTCAGGACAACTGGGGGAGGGAGGAGGGTGGATTTTGGTTTGGTTTTTTGGGGGGAGGGGAAGGAAACTTCCCATTTGTTAATCAGTTAGGGAATGTGGTGTTTTAGGTCTAGCTGTAAATGTTTACCTTTGTTTGCCTGTATGAATGCCAACTTGGAGCCATTATATTAGAACTGGTGTTGCTTGTTAATGTGAGAGATTAATGTTGGTCTGACCAAGTTTTAGGAAATTAGATTTTTCACTGAATTTTATATATTGAAGGGTTTTTCAACTATGTAATTATCTTGCATCCCAAATTGCATCTAAAGAAATACTGCTTCTCTGAAGCATCCAGGTTCTTAGTTATTTTAAAACCTGGTAATTGGTTAGAAAAAAAATTGTTCTTAATTTTTTCTCCTGCAGTTTTGCCAGTTTGACTCTTCTTTTGGCCATTTCCCAGCCCTCTCCTTCCTGTTTTCTTACCCTGAAAACCCATTATCCCCATGTGATCCCTGTTCTGCATAGTGACAGAGCAGTAAGTACATGGTGTTTTTGCCTTCACTTTAAACAGTGGCCTAGAAAGTAACACTTCACATTCCCCGCTCCCTTCTTATGAATAGTTTGTTTAATCACATAGATGTCTTGGAAGGTCCATGTTCCTTTTTTAGAATCTGTGTCCTCTGTACAGATAGTAAAATGATTTTGTAACACTGCTTACATGGAGCAGTTTTCAGAGAGGTTATAGGACAGAAGTGAAGTGTTTCATTATGATTCAAATATAAATGTTTCTCTTGAACACTTTAGTGTTTTGTTTCTGTAGTTGGTTTTTTGGTGTTTTCTGTACTGTAGTTTGAAAGTGCCCATTGTGTAAGACTGGCTCCTTCAGTCAGCTTGTACCAGTAGTTGGTATCCACAAGGGATCAGGCTTCTTGGGGTGGGGGCAGCTTCCAAGTCTGGCTTTTGAAGTTAAATTTCTTACTTGGAAATTGTTCTGAATTTGATATTTAGGAGTAGCCACTCCAATCTTAGTGAATTTGCTCATCTCTTCCAGTAATCAGCCCTGCATGCTTTTAAAATAAATTTTAAGGTGACTAAATGCCTTCTACCTCTTCCTTACTGAAGATTTCCCCCCCGTACATTCTTTTTTGGGGGAAGGGCAGATTGTGGTATCTGAAATTGCAGATCCAAATTCCCCATCTTTTATTTAAAAATTAAAGAGCCAAATGTCACCATTATTATCCCTGTTTCAGGCAGTGACACAATCATAGTGGCATTAAAAATATAAGTATTCTAGAATTCAATGTTCTTGAGCACCTGATTTTTATTTGGAAAATTGAGAAGCTACAGTGCTTGGTGGAAGAAGGATGGCATTTGGCTACCCTGTTCTTTCTCTAATGCCTCGGTGTTGCCTGTCTGCGCCGGCCATTGTTGCAATGTACGCAATACTGTTTGATGCACTGCCACCTCTATTGTCTGTTCAGTGTTTAGAATCTCCAGTGGGGAAGAGGAAAAGAAGCATGACTGTTAGTCCTTCTCAGGACCCATCTTTCTCAGGATTAAACCAGGTCTGAAACTGTCTCCTATTCCAACCTCAACCCCAAATTCATGTGCTTTTCTTTCTTATTGTTTTGTTTTAATTTTAATTAATTCTGGAGAGTATAGATCTTGCTCAAGCACCTCTTATGTTGGCATTATTCAGACATACTTGGCAAACATGTAACATTACTAAGATATTTTCGTGGCTTTTGCTTAAACCTTTTAAAGCTTAGAGAAAACCTAAATGAAAATAGGATATTGCCTTAGTTTTAGATCACTAACTGATATGAGGAAATGCTGTTACTTTAGTTTAGTATTGGAGCCGTTACTTAAAATATAAACTTGAGATAGACTAGCTTTAAAAATGTATCTGAAAGCTTACTGCACAGTTAAGTTTCATGAGCTACAGTGACTATGCTCTGCTGTACTTTCCTCTCCTTCACTAAGAACCTCAGGTAAGTATAGGTCAGGCTTCACACCTAGTATGTCTCAAACTTGATTATCAGGCTGTCAGTTCTTAGCTTTCAAATGGTTGCTTGAAGAGCATTCTGTGCTCTAGACTAGAAGACATTGTATTCATAATAGAACAGTGAAAATTTAAGGAAAAAACAAAGTAAATGGTCAGTGGCCATTAGTCACAGGAAGATAACTGAATATATGACCTGATTTAGATTTGGGCAGGCTAAACAACCCAGTAATTGAATCACTTTACATTTTCTTTTACTTTGCTGGAACCTGTAGCCCTGCACCCCATGTGATTTTTGGTTTTGTTTTGAGGCCTGGTCTCCAGCCCTGGTTAGCCTGGAATTTGGTATGTAAATCAGGCTGGCCTCAAACTCTGAGCCATCCTATTCACCTACCTCTGCCTCCCAAGTACTGGGATGAAAGGTATATGCCACCACGCCTGAACCCAGTAAGAATTTTTATAGACAAAGAACATTTACTTGAGGATGTGAATTTTGGTGGTTCCGCTTCTGGAACCAAGTCTGTAGTTTTTGATAACCCATACTCTGAGAAGACAATATTGGCATAAATAACCAAAAAAAAAAAAATGAAGAAATACACAGTGCTGTGTACTGGGGGGCTTTTTGTTTGTTTGTTTGGTTGGGTTTTTTGTTTGTTTTTTGTTGTTTTCTGAGACAGGGTTTCTCTGTGGCTTTGGAGGCTGTCCTGGAACTAGCTCTTGTAGACCAGGCTGGTCTCTAACTCACAGAGATCCACCTGCCTCTGCCTCTCCAGTGCTGGGGTTAAAGGCGTGCGCCAGCTGTGTACTGGTTTAATCACCTAAATTACCTTCATTTATTTTCTACACTGCCCCTGTTTTTGGATTTTGGTGTTTTCAGTACTGTCTAGAGGCAAGCTCCTTCTGCTCAAAAGGTTTCAGATACTCAGAGTTACCTTATCCCGAAAAAGAAAGTCCCAACTATTGGGTTGGGTGTGATGCATTACCATAATCTGGCGAGAGGAGGATCACAGCAAATTCCAGGCCAGGGCTAGTTACATAGGGAGTTCCAGATAATCCCAAAAAGAGTTTAATGCTATGACTGAATCTTGGTTGGGGGAAGAAGTTTAAAAACTTAATAGCCTCATTTTTATTTACCCATCTACCTGTACAGTTTGTTTACATCTTGTAGCATAAAAACTTGATAATCTAAATGTTTTAATATTTTGTATTGTACAAACTAGTTAGATTACAAATAATTAATGCAAGTTCTCAGAAAAGTAGCTTGTCCCAATAATGAAAATTGCCTGTGTCTTTGCAGGTGCAATCCTTATGCTTAAGTAGTACTGACTTTCCTTATTTGGTTCTCTCTTTGTGTAGTTTCTTATTAATGATTGGAGCATTTGAGGAGTTATTAATTAGCTTGGGTTGGTTTTGTTTTTGTTTTGCTTGCCTTTTACTTTTTAAGTATTGAATTTCTTGAATATATCTTTGGTTGTTTACACAGTATCTGCTTAATGAGTTGTAAATGCAGATTTAGCTTTGAGTAGCAGCTGTCAGGCGTAATCCACATTAGCACACGTTCCCCTTCTCTTAAAAAACTGAAAGGAAAGGAATAATTCAAGAAAAAGCCTCCAAGAAATTCCATGACCTAGGAATTATTTTCCGTGTTATGAAGCTGAGTACCCTCTGTTGTTAGTTTTTCTGTTTTCAGTGTCATTCAGGAAAAATGTATGGTCATTTACTATTAGTATATTGATTCTGGTTTTCATATTAAGAGGAATGTGCAGTGCTCTGTGTATTAAAATACTTTCCCATATTTCTTAGTAACTTGATTGCTTAGGGAGTTTAATACTAAATTTGCAGAGCTTTTGTTACCCAATTAATCTATTTCTCACTAGTAATTTAGTCGTCTTTTATAATAGACCAGATGAAAGTATAGGTATAACAGCTGGCAGAAACAGGGTTTGTTTTGTTTGTTGAAATAGGCTCTCAGTTCGAAGCCATGGATGGCATGGAACCTCTTTGTAGACCAGGTTGGCCTAGAAAGAAGAGATCTGCCTGCCTTTGTCTCCCAAATACTGGCATTAAAGGCCCATGCAATTACCTCTGGCTGACCTTCACATGAATAGTTGGTTTTGTTTACTTGTACATGAGTTTTAAAAAATTATGGATTTCCTAAAATATCACAGATTCCACACTGGTAGAAGAAACCCCCTTAGTTTAACAAAGAATAATAAAGTACAGGGATAATTAGAAGAGACACAAGAGTCTCATGTGATCTCTGTGCACAGATATGTCCAGTTTGATAATGTTGGCATTAGGATTTTATTATTATAGCATAGTATGGTAAGTGGGGGGGGGTGTATAAAAGTTAAAACTTCAAATACCTTGGTAAACAGGAATGAATTTTGTTAACTTTTTCATCAAGAAGTAAAAAATTTCAGTTTTGTAGGTCAGATTTGAATTACTTAGAAAAATGTTCTCTTAGTGCTTTATTCCCTGGTTACCACATAGATTATATGCAACTAAACATTTTCTTCTAAAATGCTAATGTGGTTTTGGGCTAGCTCACTTAAGCAGATAATTTGTAAGCCACCTTAATTTAAATGCCGTGCTTTTAATTTTTGGATTAACATTTTATAATTTTCAGATACCTTGTAAAGCAATGTAATGCATGCTGTTTTTTATCTTAAAATGGTTTGTTTTTATATCAGACTTTGAGGATTATATTTAAGCAAATTAATTAGCTTTTTATTAACATACTAAAGAGGTGACCTCTGGGGAGAGAAGAGTCCCAGAAAGCTGTGCACAGATTTTGGAACATGCTTGTTTTGTCCATAAAACAGGCTGTCAAATTTCATGTGGTAAACAGAATACTTGACAATTCTGCCTTGGAACATGTATATACTTAACTGTGTGAAGACAGGCTACTATGTGTATAAGAACTAGGCAGATGAAGTTACATAAATGAGGATAGATTACTAGGTGTAATGGTGATGGGGGGATTTCCTTACTGGTGGAGAGTAGTAAAGGTTTATTGGGATGTTAATTCTATTATCTACTTATACTTCGTTTTGATATTTAAATATACTAAATGAGTAAGAAGCTGTTTAGTTGAACAAGTTTAGAAGCCTGATGTCTCTTTGTTTTTCTTTTAAAGTTATTCCTTATTGATTTTGGTTTGGCCAAAAAGTACAGAGACAACAGGACAAGGCAACACATACCATACAGAGAAGATAAAAACCTCACTGGCACTGCCCGGTATGCTAGCATCAATGCACATCTTGGTATTGAGCAGAGGTGAGTCTTATCAAATCCATTATGGAAGCAAGCAATTCATGGCTTTTCTTGAGTTTGTATTAAAGATTCTTAGTGTCTTAAGGGTGCTTCTTGACTGAGGACTGAGAAACTGCTTATTGTTGTACCTTTTGCTTTTAACTGGTGCAGAGAAACCAACTAAATTAATGAGACTTTTTGTTTCCTGTCTTGAAAGTTGTTTTTGGAATAGAAAGTTAAATGTCAAGTATCATGACACATAGCTGCAATCTTAGCTAGCACTGAGAGGCTGAAGCAGGTGGATTGTGAAGAATTCAGGGCCATTCTGGGCTCTATGACAGTACTAGATTAGTGGGCCCATAATGTGAGAACCTATCTAAAAAAGGAAGGGATGAAAAAACAAAAGCTGGAAACATGAGTATTTTGACATCTCTTTCTGTAACTTAACATAATAACTACTTTGTAAAGTGCTGATCTTAGGCTTTTAGTATGATGACTTGTGCTTATCACACAAGTATGACCCTGGAAGGGTAGATCCTAAGAAATGTGTCTCACGAAATAGCCAACTTTATTCAGAGCATCAGACAATTCTCTGAAGGTTAAGAAGAATCACCTGAGTAAGCTCCATGTGGAGAGGCATAGAAACAAACAACAGCAGCCTGAGGTCAGGAATAGTCTGAAGTAAACTCCTATCCCCTACACCTGGGAGGGGCATTAAAGCACATTCCAAGAATGATACCATGATGGGTTTTTTTTGTTTGTTTGTTTGCTTTGTTTTTTGTTTTTTTTTTGTTTTTTTTTTTTTTTAGAAAAAGGTTTTCTTTTTTAACCCCCCTTGCCCCCCCTGGACCCCCCCAGGCCCGCTCTGGATACCAGGCTGGCTTCCAACTCACAGAGATTCTCCTGCCTCTGCCTCCCAAGTGCTGGGATTAAAGGCGTGCACCACCAACGCCCAGATTCGATCATGTTTTTGAAGAAACTGAGGTCACAAGAATTTTATTGGAGTTTTCTCAAAAGGACTCTGAATTAGATTCCCATTCTTGGACCCTGTTCCAACAACTTGAGTTTCAGAATTTTAGTTCCAGGGGTGGTGGGTGTTATTCTTTTGTTTAAAAAGAAGAAAAGAGAAATGCTGAGACATGAGACATGTTGACTGTAAGTTTATTATGAGGCCCGGCAGAGTAGGTAGACTAAGAAGAGGAACAGGGGTAAATGGCTCACTGCTAGGTAGACTAAGAAGAGGAACAGGGGTAAATGGCTCACTGCTATGGCCGGTTGCCATAGAGAGACAGAGCCAGCGCATAGGTGAGAGAGAGAGTAGAGAGGAAGCAGAGAGGAAGCCGAGAGAGTAAATGGGCAGGGGTCTGTCTTTTTAAAGGGGTCCTCTGCACCTGCGAGCAGGCTTAGTTCCCATGGAACCTTGGGCTGACCAGGGTACTGCCTGTTCCACCAGGTAACAGGGGCAGGCCAGCATAATGCCTGAACCTTTTAGTGGGGACCTATGAGTCAATTTTACAAGGAATAAAACTTAACAGAACTGAGTTTGGTAACTCATGCCTGTAATCCCAGCACTTTGGTAGTCTGTGATAGTATTGCCTCTAAGTTTGAAGTAAGTCTCAGAACAAACAAAAATTATGATATTCTTAATAAACCAGAGATGTGATTGGTAGATGATGATCTCTGTGTCTCCTATTTCTGCACTTGAGGTCCCTCCCCCAGCCCCCCAAGTTTTGGTTAGCTTTTCCTTCTAAGAGAAACAAAGCAAATGTGCTGTCTTTGTTTTGGGAATTTTGTAATTAGAATGTGGGAATAGGAATAGTAAATTTATTTCTGAATACTCTGAAATGTACTATGATTGCATTCATTTTATTCATCTTAAAGTATTACCTGTCCAAATAATACCCCAGAAAAAGGTGTTTCCTGTCACTGGATATATTTCTCTTACTGCATGTATATAGTGTTTGTACACTTGTGAGCTTGGCTTTTTTGTTTGTTTCAGCATCTCTAGATGGTTTTTAGGAGTTGAAAATTAAGACATCTCTTAGTAGTTTTATCTTAGTAGTTTTGTATCTCCCCCAACACACACACACACACACACACGCACGCACGCGCGCGCGCGCGCGCATGTAACAGTCTTAGCTGTCCTAGAACTAGCTTTGTAGACCAGGCTGGCCTCAAACTCCCAGAGATCTGCCTGCCTCTGCCTCACCAGTGCTGGGATTAAAGCCATGCACCACCACACCCTGGCTCTCTTGGTAGTTTTTCAGTATTCATTAGCTTTTAGAGAGTTATCTAGCTATATTGTCAGTCTCTTAAAAACAATTCTCTGACAATTTTATAGGTGGTTAATCTATCTGTTTTAAACTTTATTGCTTTACCTAATTTTGTAGGATGCCAAATAGTCTTCATCTTCATTTGTGAGCATGTTTTCTTTTATGTATAGGTACTTAGTTTTCATGTTTTCCCAATACTGGTTCATAAAATAACTTTCTCTTTTCTAGTCGCCGAGACGACATGGAATCTTTAGGATATGTTTTGATGTATTTTAATAGAACCAGTCTGCCATGGCAAGGGCTAAAGGTAAATCAGACTCAAATTACTGAGGATTGTTTTTGTCTTATTTGAAGGAAAAATATGAGACAGGTGATCCCAGAACATTCGGTGTGGTATGGGCCCAGTAGATTAAGAGAAGCCTAGGCAGTTAAAGTAGGGAGCTCTGCCATCTCAGGGGAGGGAGCTGTGAAAGGGGAGAGAAGAAAAGAAATAAACACAGTAGAAGGTGTCGTTAAGTATTTTCCAAATCTGAGTTTCAGCCAAAATTTGCTTTTGCCTTAACCATTTCAGTAAGAAGTAATTGTTAAAAGCAGTTGTTAAACCTGAAGCTAGTGTTGTCGTGCTGGCACTCATTGGTGGCAGCTAGCCTGATCTGGTTGGAAGCATAGGTGGGCTTTTGAGTGTATGTTAATAAATCTGTGGTGTAAAGTTAATAGCTATTTTGAACCTTTAGAGGAAGACAGTAAAATGCTCAGTTCTTTGGTGAGTGGCGTTATCCCATGGATATGGACTTGATCCCATGTATTTTCTTAGCTCTCACATACTGAATCTCTCATGTGTATGGTGTCTAGTGAGCTCAACTGCTGCACCTCTTAGGTATTAAATCCATCCTTTCACTCCTCATTTTTTACAGGCTGCAACAAAGAAACAAAAATATGAAAAGATTAGTGAAAAGAAGATGTCCACTCCTGTTGAAGTTTTGTGTAAGGTAAGTGTACATGATGAATATTTAAGAATAATTCACATGGCCAGGTGTGGTGGTATACACCTTTAATCCTAGCACTTGGGAGGTAGAGGCACTCTGGTCTATCTAGGCAGCCAGAAGTAAGACCCTGTCCTAAGTAAATAAAAACCGTGGGCTGGAGAGACAGGTCTCTGTGGTCAAAATCATGTGCCATGCCAGGTGTGGTGTTGCCCCTGTGCTTTTAATCCCAGCATTCCAGAATCAGAGTCAGGAGTTCAGGACTGCCAGGGCTATGTAGAGTGATTCTGTCTCAAAAAGCAAACAAAAATAGTATTTGCTGCTCTTGCAGGTGGTGGAAGTTCAATTCCTAGATCCCACATTGAATCATTTATAACCACTAGTAACTCCAGCTCCAGATTTTGTCCTCTCTAGGTAACAAGCACATCCAGAGTAGTCACAGTAGGCACGAATTTGTGAACACATACACACACACCTTTTTAAAAATAATCAGTTCAGAAGGGTGGCACAGTGAGTAGACGCCTCCCACCAAGCCTAATAGCCTGAATTTGATACCTGAGATGAGTGGTAGAAGGAAAGCACTAACTCCCACAAGTTGTTCTCTGTTCCATGTGCATGCTGTATGTAGCACATATATACATGTATCCATACACAGACATAGTGCACACAGAAAGTGAGTTAAAAATAGTCCTGTTAATAAAAAAAGCAAATCCTACATTATCAGGAAGATGTCTGATAATGTAGGGGAAATCTCCCTAGTTTAAAAAAAAAAATTAGTTGTCTTCGTTATCGTCCTCAGAGAAAGTTCTGAGTTGTGCTGTAGAAAGGGGTGGTTTCTTCACAATTGTCTTAGGGTTTCTATTGCTGTAATGTAACACCATGATTAAAAGCAACTTAGGGAAGAAAGGGTTTATTTCGTGTTAGGACTAAGGCCACACTCTTATCTCTGAGGGAAGTCAGCAGGAGTTTAAGTCTGGGACCTAAAGTTAGGAACGGGGCTGCTGCTTACTGGCTTGTTCCCCAGGCCTGGCACCATCCTCAGTGAGAAGGACCCTCCCACAACAATTGTTAATCAAGAAAATGCCCCAGGAGTCAATCTGGTGGGGGCATTTTCTCGTTTGAGGTTCCCTCCCAAATGACTCTAGGAATTGTCAAGTTAACAAAGAAACTAACCAGGACATCTTGAATATTATAGCCTGAGTAGATGGTGAATTTGAGCTTAAATTTTTGAGACAGAATCACTATAGTTGTCTTAGTTATAGCTTCCTACAAAGTACTGAAGCAACATATGTTTCTTTGTGGTTGTATTTCAAAACTTTGTTTTTCCTAACTTGGTGTTTTGCTTTTCACTCTTGTTTTAACTGTTGAACTGATAGGGGTTTCCTGCAGAATTTGCCATGTACTTAAATTACTGTCGTGGGCTGCGCTTTGAGGAAGCTCCGGATTACATGTATCTGAGGCAGCTATTCCGCATCCTTTTCAGGTCGGTTGTTAGGCCGTGAGTGGCTGCAGAGGCTGAGAGATGGCTTAAGAGGAAGGGAACATTGTTCTTGTGGACAACTCAGATTTGGTTCCCCCACTCACATTGGGCAGCTCATAACCACCTGTAGCTCCCCAGAATCACATACCTCTAGTCTACATGGACTCTTGCAATCATGTATAGAGAGACACTCCCCACCCCCACCCCATGTGTATGTTTACATGCACATAATTAAGAATAATTTTGCCCTGTTCTCAGTGATTGCATCTACAGAATAATAACTACTGAATCTAAGGCTGGGGTTCACAGGCTGTGAGATTTTTATATCCTCGGAATGTCAGAAGCTATACCCATAAAATCTCATCAGCATGACTGCTTAAACTAAGGAATGCTGAGAACAGGAGAAGAGCACACCAATTGGTTATCTGATACCAAGTGGTCAGCCCTGAAAACATAAATAATGTTACACAGAGTGTAGCCAGGCGGTAGTGGCACATGCCTTTAATCCCAGCACTTGGGAGGCAGAGGCAGGTGAATCTCTGAGTTCAATTCAAGGCCAACCTGGTCTACAGAGCAAGTGCCAGGACAGGCTCCAAAGCTACACAGAGAAACCCTGTCTCAAAAAAAACAAAAAAGAAAAAGTGTGTGTGTGTTATATATAACAATAAGTCATGAAAAATGGTCATTTTTTTTTTTAAGCAAGTATATAGGCATTTTTGGAGGGAAGAAGGGAAGGGAGAAGTATGTAATTACATTAATCGAAAATAAATTTTAGAAGCAAATGATTTTTTAAAATCTTTTAACAGTAATTTCAATGATGCAGAACCCTATTCAGTACCAAATAAAATAGGCATTAAAAGCTAGGTGTAGTGGCATTTGTCTTTAAACCCATGTGTCTTTAAACTTGGGGGTTAGGCAGATGTGGAACTTTGAGTTCCTGGCCTGCCAGGGCTACACAGAGAAACCTTGTCTTGAGATTATTATTCTTGGTCCCCCTTCCCCCCCCAAAAAAAAAGGGAGGGGGAGAAGGGAGCATTGAAATACAGAATCTGCCAGAGGTATACCAGAGACTCCAGCACATAGGAGATAATGGAGGAGCATTGGGAGTTCAGGGTCATCCACTGTAGCACAGCTAGTTGAAGGCTAGAGGTTGTTGTGCCCATGTTTCACATTCTTAAAGAAAACAGCAAGTAATCCATTAGTCCCAGAAATGATGTCCTAAGATACCAGCACCATCTCCCTCACAAGCTGCCAGTTTTATACATGCTCCCCTAGAAGGTTCTAAATGAATCTTTCTAGGTAATTGACAGCTTGACCCACTGGAGTTGCTTAGTTTTTCATTCCTAGTATACCCCTTTGTGGAGATTTGTGTCTTGATTTTGTTTGGTTTTTTAGACAGGGTCCTAATATGTTGACCAGGTGGGCCTCAAATTCAGTAGAGATATACCTTACTGAAGCTTGGGTTAAAGACTTGTGTCACTATGCCTGACTCCTTTGGAGGAAATTTAAAAGGCAGGGTTTTTTTGTTTTGTTTTGTTTTTTGTTTGTTTTTGAAAAGTTACTATTTCCTTTTTAATCTAATACATCAGACCAGAGTGGTTGACATTTTCCCTTCAGTTGTGACATGTGGAGTAATTATTTAGAATTACTTATAAGAAAGAAAATCTTAGAAGTTACCATGCTAATGAGTAAGGGTGGTACTTGCCTTTAATCTCAGTGCTCTAGCAACACGCAAGCAGATGTCTGGGCTTAAGGGAGTCTGGTGTATATAGATTTCCAGGCTAGCTGGGGCTACATAATGGGAAAAGAAATGAATGCCCTTGACTGTCTTGAAAAGAGAATAGAATATTTAGCTGGACAGTGTTATTAGAAGGTGACATGGCACTTTATTTTTCAGGACCCTGAACCACCAATATGACTACACATTTGATTGGACAATGTTAAAGCAGAAAGCGGCACAGCAGGCAGCCTCTTCCAGTGGGCAGGGTCAGCAGGCCCAAACCCCCACAGGCAAGCAAACTGACAAAACCAAGAGTAACATGAAAGGTTAGTAGCCAAGAACCAAGTGACGTTACAGGGAAAAAAATTAAATACAAATTGGGTAATTCATTCATTTATAACAGTGTTAGATCAAGGAGGTGGTTTTAAAATACATAAAATTTGGCTTTGTATTAAAAAAAAAAAAGACGTCCTTGGAAAATTTGACTACTAACTTTAAACCCAAATGTCCTTGTTCATATATATGTATATGTATTTGTATATACATATATGTGTGTATATTATATCATTTCTCTTGGGATTTTGGGTCATTTTTAACAACTGCATCTTTTACTCATTCATTAACCCTTTTCCAAAATAAACATTTGGTGTTGGGAATATGGTATTGCCAATCAATCCAAAATCCTAGACCTAACACTTGTTGATTTTTAATACAGAATCTGGTTAGCCATGGTATTTTGACTTACTTTGAGACTAACAGTGTTAAGATATTTATACATTTTTGTTTGCATGTTAATGCTTTAGTGTTTAATGGGGAAATGTGAACATGACCTAATTAAGAGGTGAGTCTTGGTGTTGCCTCCAGCATGTCTATCTTCTCAATTGCAGAGCGCCTTGTTAACCTCAAAGCTCAGCATATATTTCTAAATCATAAATCCTCTCTGCTAGTGAGCTATGACAGATCTTAATTTTATGATGATCCTTAAGAGGAGGAATTCTTTATTCAAATGCTAAGGAATAAAGGCACTAAGGTTCTTTCAATGTAGAATTGAAGCCTGCAGATAGATCCTTGTCAATTGAAGATAACTGAGGCAAATGCCATTAAACTGCTAGTCTGTCTCTGTCTTTCTGGCACTTTTGAGTGCTTCTAAGGATTAGAACTGTTAGAGCACAACATCATTCCCTGTTCCCGGTGCCTTAGAACTCAACTCCCGCTTCCATGGTATTGTCTCCCTCTCTGGGACTTACCTACTGATACCTGCCTGCTGTGTGTAAATGGTGGGCAGGTAAGCATTGGTTTGGGGTTTCTAGTTACTTTATTTCTGAAAGACTGCTCTGGTCTGAATGTGGTTTTCAAATAATAGCATTTTCTATATTTTTAGTATTGTATTTAAATTTTTAAACTTAGAAATAGATTCTAGGCCAGGTGTGGGGCCGAATGCCTTTAATCCCAGCATTTGGGAGGCAAAGGCAAACAGATCTCTTGAGTTCAAGATCTGTTCTACAGAGTGAATTCCAGGACAACCAGGGCTAAAGACCCTGCCTTTTTTAAGGAAGAAAGAAAAACTTCTAGTATCCAAGAAACATTTGAAGAAATAGAATGAACTGATGTCATCCTCATCCCAGCAGCTCAGTAAAGTTGAGGGGCTTCCTTTCTGTTTCTATATTTGGGAAGGATTGAGTTGAAGATTGGCGGAGGAGGGCTTTTAGATGATGAGGCCTGAGCTAAAGAGCTTAGCGGGTGCTCAGATTGTTCAGCTTGTGCACCTCATTTGGGACATTGATGTATGCCTCTTTTTGTTTCTTAATGTTGTGTAAGTAAGCTTGTGTTGAAGTAAAGTACAGCTGTGTTGGAGTGGGTAACAAGTATTAATGAGAAGTGATTTTATTGTTGAAATGAAGGCAAATACAGCCTCTTAACTGAGATGTTAAGCAACACCTATATTTGCTTGCTTCCATGAAATGAAGCCCTTCTCTTTTCCCCCCCTCCCCAAGCTGGCTGGGATAATAGGATTCATCACAAATTGCAGCTTCTAAAACTAAGATTGAAATCTCATCTGGCCTAGAACATTTTTCTTCAGGCATTAAGCAGCCTTCAGAAAGAAGTATCTTACTTTTGACCTAGTTTCATTGTTCTCATTTACTATGTATTTCTTACTCGATAAACAAGCAGAATTTTTGTCCTGCTTTATCCAGGTATTAAAGACGAGAAGTTGGATCCACTGAGTTAGTATGTTTTCTTGAAAAAGAAAATGATTAAACAAGTTTAAGCCTTCTTCTGTATCGTAACTTTTTCATAAAAGTAACTTGAAACAGTTAAAAACCTCTTTAGACACATTGGTCATGCAAGTTAAAACATGTACATGGACTTGTAATGTTCTGAAATAAGGTTTTTCAATAAATAATTACCTTTTATTGGCTGCTTTCAAAGGTACATTTCTAAGTCCAGGTTCAGTGACGTCAATGCTTATAGTCTTAACTACTGGGAGACGAGAGGATCGCTTGAGCTCTAAGGAGTTAATGGCCAGCTTAGGCAATAGAAAGAGATTCTTCTCACAGAGTGGATGGGTGGAATGGGTTACCAAGATACGGTTTTTTACCTTGAGCAAAATATTGCTTGCTTCTAAAATGTGTTAACTTGGGGCTGGAAGTTAGCTAAGTTGGTAGGAGCTTGCCATGGGAACCTGAGTCCAATCCCTAGAATCTGCCTTTAAAAAGACAAGGGCTGGGCATGGTCTGGCACACACCCTGAATTCTGGTACTTGGACATAGAAGCAAGCAGATTTCTGTGAGTTTGAGGCCAATCACAACATACTGAGACTTGAGACCCTGTCTCAACAACAAAGCTAGCAAACTGTAATAATATTTTTTTGTAAGCCTAGCCCTGGCTAGCTGGGTAGAGATAGGCAAAACCTCCAGACTTCCAGGCCAGCCCGATTAAGACTAATCATGAGCTCCATGTCCCAGTGGAAGACCCCACCTCCAAAAAGCAAAAGACATCAGAGGGACAATCATCAGAATTGACTGCTTCCTAAAACACACACACACTGGGGGGGGGGGTCCACAAGCTATGTCACTATACAGAATATAGATATAAATATCTGTAAAATTAGTGTCCAAAACAGAAAGCTCTCTCTTCATTCATAAAGCTAAGAAAATTCATCTATCCTAAGGGTAGCATGAGAAAGCAGGTCTTAGACCCTCTGCCTCTCACATTATGTAGGTTATTGGTGATTAAAGGCTACTATTATAGCCTTTGATTTCATGGACTCTCCCGATAATGGTAGCACCATTATTTCTGTCTGCTCAGAAGTTATAGGAAGTGGTTGGGTGGTGGCCACATGCCTTTAATCACCAGCATTTGAGAGACAGGATGATGGATCTCTATGAGGTTGAGGACTGCCAGGGAGGGAGGGATGGGGGAGAGGGTGGGGAAGGGAGGGGGGAGGGAGGGAAAAAGAGAGAATATGCTCCAAGATCCCCCCCCCCCAATGTAAACATGCTTACATGTCAATGAGTTCAGTTTCATAATCTTCAGCAAGCATAAAGGTTCTTTTCTGGAAAGATCTTCTAAATGCTGGCACTTACTGGTATTTTTTTTTTTTTTGTTCTATGGGGTTTTGTTTTTGGCTTCTTGGCAGGTTTTTTTGTTTGTTTTTTTGTTTTTGCATATGTTTCTTTCATAGAAATTACAGAAAGTTCTAACCACTCACTGAGAGTGTCAAGTGTTCTTCCAAACCTTGCTTATTTAGTTAGTATGTGCTTCCTTTTTGTTTGTTTGGTTTTGTTTGTTTGGTTTGTTTTTCGAGACAGGGATTCTCTGTGTAGCTTTGGAGTCTGTCCTGGAACTTGCTTTGCAGACCAGGCTGGCCTCAAACTCACAGAGATCTGCCTACCTCTGCCCCCAAATGCTGTGCCACCACTGCCCAGCTAGTATGTGCTGTGTGGTTGTGGTTGTTGTTGTTGTTTTTGTTTCATTTTTCGAGACAGGGTTTCTCTGTGTAGCTTTGGAGCCTATCCTGGCACTCGCTCTGGACACCAGGCTGGCCTCGAACTCACAGAGATCGGCCTGCCTCTGCCTCCCAAGTCCTGGGATTAAAGGCATGTACCACCAACGCCCAGCAGTATGTGCTTTTTATGTAATAGGTAGATCCCTGCTCTGATAACTGTTACAAAGCTAGTTAAGACCAAGAGACATGGATTTCCCCTAATGTCTCTTAATTTTTTTTTTTTCCAGTGCTGAAGTGCCCCATGATTTAATTTTTTGGTTCTATTGGTTCAGCAGAGAGAGAATAAAAGCTTCTCGCTCTGAACACTTGGCAATCCATTTCACTTGGTATTCTTCAACTATATTATAATTGTCAGAAAGGAACTTGTTTATGACCTAGAAAAGGCGTAGAAAGAAGAAACATTTTATGAACATTTAAATCCCAGTTAACTCTGATGTACCCCCAAGTAGCTGAGACAGTGGAAAGACAAGTTTGAGGGCAGCCTTGGCTGCCTTGTGAGATCTCTTCTTAGAAGCATATATACATACTGTTTCGTTAGTTATGGACCAGGTAGAGAATTTTAGCTTAGATCATATAGAAGGGAGATTCTCATGGGATTCCATTGTCATTCTGTCTTTTTTTTAATGAATTTATTTTTATTTTATATGCATTGGTATTTTGTCTGTGTATATGTCTATGTGAAAGTGTCAGATCCCATGGAGCTGGTGTTACAGACTTGTGAACTGTCATGTGGGTGCCAGGAATTGAACCTGGGACCTCTGGAAGAGCAGCCAGTGCTTTTAACTGCCGAGCCACCTCTTCCAGACACCCCCCCTCCCCCGTCTTTAACTGCTCATTATCTCAGACAGAAGTAGTAAATAGCTTTATTACCAAGAATGGTTGAGAAGATGTTGGCTTTCAAAGACTTGAAATGTTTTCCCTCACCTTAACCTACCTGTCAGTGGTCCCCAGCAGCTACAGGGCTTTACGATGTGTAGCTTAACCTTTTCTGACTTCACCAACTGCTGCCAGGAACACAGCTGATAATTCAGCAACTTAACCTAAAACAGGGAAGGGAAGACCTTTCTATACCTGAAGAGACTGACCTACCTTGAATAAATTCAGTCCAAAGAAGACCAACCAGGGAACCTTTCCTGAAATCTGGTATTTCCATCGGCTTTTTTTCATTGTGGACAGTAAAGCTTGAGAGATGGACACAATCCAAGAAATGAAGATGACAACCTCTCCGAGGCTCACTGGCCTGCTAACCTTGCATGTCTGGGTCTGTGATGACTGTCAGAAGGCCTGGAAAACTGCCAGCGTTGCTAAGCCTCAGTGCTGTGTAATGCCCATCATCTGCCTTTGTAACAGGTATGTTAAGTTTACCAACTATAGAAGGTGTTAGAAAATGAAATCTGAGTAGAGAAGACAGTCATTCAGATCATTAGTCTGTTGGTCTAATTCAAGCATGAGTTGAACCTTTTATGCATAAATTACCAGTTTGTGAAGAAAAATACTTCTCCGTCTTTAGTAATTAGTTTTCGGGGTGTTTTTAGTTTTCGTTTTTTTTGTAGAGCATAGTTAGTTGCACTTTTGGTTTTGATAGGATGTAGCAGGTTCGTATAGACTAGCAGCTTAATTCAAAATTCACCTAGCTTACTTTTGTATAACCAAAAGACCATAGAAGAATGTTGTAGGAAAAGTTACTTAATATAAGTGACATTGTATGTTGATTACTGAGTTGAAAATAACTTGAAACAATTCTTATTATACTGTGGAACTAGCCTAAATTTCAAATACCCACCACAAATGTAAACCTTATTAATGTATAAACATCCTTTAACTGTATGGTAGCCCTTGTCCCTTCAATACAGAGGTATGTAGAGGCATGAGGAACTGTCTCGAAACATAACTGTATCTGTTTAAAATGGATTCTGGCTCTATCTTTTTTAAAAACTGGACACATTGAAAGTGTATTCATGAATAGATACATTTCTTGTAGGTTTCTTTTTGAGGGGATAAAGTATGATTATTGCATAAAATAAGTACTTTTTTCTATTTGAAGAATTGAAAAGAAACTTGAATGTAGTAGCTAATTCCTGGATCCCACTAACCCTGCAACTTTGGTGACAGTCTTCATTCTCCCTCTCCTATAGGAACAGAAGAGGTTCATCCTTCATTTTGACTAATGGCACAGTGAAGATGGACTCTGGAACCGGAAGTGTCAACCAGACTACAAGACTTTAAAAACCAACAAAAGACTAAAGCACACATGAAGAGAGAGTGCTCAGTGGTAGTTGAAGATTGAATGTTGGAGACCTGCTATGGTGTTTTTCCTTCTTGAGTGCCATCAAAGAAGAGCTCATTGGAGGAATGATACCTGGGTAGAACATCCTACCATTGGCCTCTCTAGCTGAAGAACCAAATCTGGATTTGACTGCTTTATTCTACCAGGAATATTGTTAGGCTAATCTTCAACCAATCCCTAAACATTTGTAACCACAGACTGACCTGGCCGATCCACAAAGAGAGACTTCTGACCTGGGACTTCCCTGTTATTAAAGAAACCTAATTGTCTTGTATTTGGCTTAGTTTGTTAGTCACTGGCTTTCCACTGCAGATCTGCTTATGTGGAGGGATATTCAGTGTTACAAAGTACTAAAATATAAACATGTGATTACAGCAAGTTATTAACATAGGGGGAGGGAGGAGCCCTAGCTTTAGTAGCTGGGAAACCATGTTTGGTTTTACAATATTTATGAATAACTTTAATACATAAAGCCAAGTACTGAGGGGGTAAAGGTCATTTCTGTTTTAGCTAGTCCATAGTTTGATTTTAATGGCTTCTTAGCCATTAAAATGAGATGGTCAGGTTTATAGGTGGAATATAGGTTTGGTTGGTAGCCTTTTAAAGTAGGCCTTACTGTGGATAGGGAGGTGAGGACCAGCATTCAAATCCTCCAAAACCCTTAAAATGGGTGGATATGGATGTCTACCTGTAATCCCAACACTTGGAAGTTAGAGACAGCATCCCCAATGTAAGCTGGCCAAATTGTGAACTTCAGTTTCAGCAAAAGGCCCTGCATAGGTATCTGCAAGATGACTTGCCATCGGGAAAGATAGCACCTGATTTCAACCTCTAGCCTGCATACAACTGTGCCTACACACATATATGTGTGTATATGTGTACATATACAAAAGAGCACATGGGCACAGCACATTTTTGGTTTTAAGTTTGCCAATACTATTTCATAATCTTTATTTAATGTTACCTTTCTGTATGCTTAGGATTATGGAATTGGTGTTTGTTATATGCCTGTTCATACCTCTGGCAAGAGGGGGTGAAATGCATCTTTGCCTCTAAAGCTTAGGTTTATTTATCAAATACATGGGGATGTCTGGTTTTCCTCCCAAAGGAAAAGTTCTAGTTAAGTGGTGAAAGAATGCTTATCAAATGATGGGTATAAATGCTTTATAACATCTTTCCAGTTTTATTCTTAAAAACATTTGTAATAAAGAGTAAGTATGGGCTGGAGAGATGGCTGAGAGGTTAAGAGCACTGGCTGTTATTCCAGAGGTCATGAGTTCAATTCCCAGCAACTACATGGTGGCTTACAGCCATCTGTAATGAGATCTGGTGACTCTTCTGATGTGCAAACATACATGCAGGCAGAATACTATATATACATAATAAATAAATCTTTAAAAATAAGTATTTTATAAATCCCACGAACCCCAAAGGAGATAAATATCCTACCAATGTTTGAGGAGGAGAAAGGAACAATTTATTACCGATAAAAACATGGTTTTTCTTTAGTAGTGGCTGTTGTTTTTTGGTTTTTTGTTAAAGAAGTTAAGAAATGGTCAGAAATGAGTTTAGTCATTTTGCGTTTGAAAGGAAATAGAATAGACAGTGGTTCTTGTTTATGGGATGTTCAGGTTATTAAGAGATGGGTATGTTTATTCTGCCTCCAACCATAATGACAAGCCATTAGAACCATGGCTTCCATTTGTGGGGGAAAGAACTGTACAGCAGGATAGGATAGAATAGGATAGGATAGGATAGGACAGCATTGCTCATCTCTAGTTCACAAGTAGTGAGGAGGTGTGATCTTTTTAGTACAATAGTGTAAGTAAAGAAGTAGAAAGATCAGTGTGAGCTTTTTGCATAGAAATCCTATTCTTGGAGGCATAACACAAAGTTATGCCTTAAGAGAATTCATTAACACTGACTATTGGTGTATAATCTCCATAAGAAATGGTGTCCACAGAGATCTTTGCTTCTGGGCTAGTTGAAACCATCCTCTAGTTGCAGTGATGTCATCTGTTTCTCATTTACCTGTTGGGTTTCCAAAATAGCTTATGTTCTAGCTCCAAAAGAACTGGGCATCCTCATGTGGATGACTAGCCAGCCACTCTAGTTTAGAGTTGGGAGCTGAGGCACTGACTGCCTATAGACTTCCTGGGTCATTCACATGGGGTGGGATGGCTTTAATTAAAAGAGTCTTGCACGCTGCTTTGCAAGGTTAAACATGGTGATTTTCAAAATGAGACCAACAGCCACTAAAACATGATTATTGTCCTAGTTCTGCCTAATTTGGGGAAGTACTTGTAAACATGTTTAAAACTTGTAACATCCTTTTTCTGTTTGGTTTTTTGATAGGTTTCTAGGCATGAATTGAGGAAGAGAAGCAGCAGAGCAGATGATTGGAGCAGCATTTGTTTCTCCCAAAACTAGACATTTTAGTTCATATGTACACTAGCCAGTGGTTGTGGACAACCATTTACTTGGTGTAAAGAACTTACTTTAAGTATAAACTGGCCCCGGACAGCATTGCTGATGCTGATCCTGCGCTATAGCCGCTGTAATTGTGAATATTAACTGAGGTAGTGAAACATGGTGTCTGGTTTTCTATTGCATTTTTTTTTTTCAAGTGGAAAAGTTAACTAAATGGTTGACACACGAATTGGTGGAGAAATTGTGCATATGCCAATTTTTTGTTAAAACCTTTTATTTTGAACTAGACTGCTTTGAGATCTCATTTCAGAAGAACGGCATGAACAGTCTTCAGCCACAGTTGTGATGGTTGTAAATGTTCACAATTGTGTGTTCTTAGGGTTTTCCATCCCTGGGGTTTGCAAGTTGTTGACTTAAAACATTCTTTAAACGGCTGGCTTCTTGTTTGCAAGCCAGCTGATATGGTAGCAACCAAAGATTCCAGTGTTTGAGCATTTGAAAGACTCTGCCTGCTTACCTGTACTAGAAATAACAGCATCTAAAGTGAAGACTTAAGGAAAAAAAAAAAACATAGCGACTACTAGATTATCCTTAGGACTCTGCATTAACTCTATAATGTTCTTGCTATTAAAAAAGCATATTTGTCACAGAAATTTAGTTACCGTCTTACAACTGAACATGTATGTGTGTTGCTTAGATAAATGTAATCACTGTAAACATCTATATGATCTGGGATTTTGTTTTTATTTTGAAATGGGAGCTTTTTGTTTACAAGTTCATTAAAAACTAAAAACTGTTTCTGTAAGGAAGTGAAATTTTTTTAAACAACAAAATGCCTTGCTGACTCAACAAGAAGTATATCTTCCCCCATTTTTTTTGTTTTGTTTTGTTTTGAGTCAGGGTCTTATTTTGTAGCTCTGGGTGGCCTGGAACTCATTGTATAGATCAGGCTGGCCTAGAACTCTCAGAGATCCTCCTCTGCCTCCCTGAAGTCCTGGGACTAAAAAACATGAGCCAACACGCACACACACACGCGCACACACACACACACACACAGCTTTCCCTAAATTTTTTTTTTGATAGACTACTTCAAGCCATTTGTTATATATTTCTTTGCTGCAAAAGATTTTTTTTTTGTCTTGATCCAAGTAGAAAAGGGCACTTTGCCTTTTTTTAATGACTCACAGGCACAATACCCAGTACTGCAGCTGCCATAATAACATTGGCATTGTCTCCTGCTGCCCCTGACAAGCAGATCGACTGATTTTGAATAAGAGTGAAAGTGTTAAAGGGTTTAATAACTATCACAGAATATTTTCCTTAAAAACCCTTGTGAAACGGCTATAAGAGTGTCACACAGTGTGAGGCTGGTGATGCTGACACTCCAGCCTCGCTTCCGTAGTAGGTACCTGTGCGCGCTTCTTCCCAGTCTCTTGGCCGCTTTTCTTTTCTGTTTCATCCAAACCAAGGGGAAACTTACAATAATTCTTTAAGTGTAATTTATTCATTTACAGCATGTCTGGATAAATTAAAAGATTATTTGTCTGAAAATGTTGCCAGGAGCCTATTGTGTAACTGTAGGTGTTTTGTGAAATAATCTTGAATTGTAAATTGATGCGTGTTTGGTAAGATTGTCAGGATTGATTTCTTGTGGTTTTCCTTTTATTTTTTTTTAATTTGAACAGCAATAATTAATTCCATGATTGCCACATTCTGTCATCAAGAGATATATGTAAGATTATTACCATAAAGCTGAAGAAGTCTTAGGTGGAGTTGGCAGGTGGCAGCTTCTGTTTCTTTTCTAATCATGCTTGTCAGTTGAGGTATTTGTTTCTTGACTAATAAACCCTTTGATACTTTTAGCCAGAAATCAGTCTCATAAAGCTATTTTTGAGTATAGTTTGTGTAAGATAAAACTGTTCAGCTTTGGTCATAACTTTATAGGCTGAACTCTCTCTAGCAAGATATTTTTCAGTGCTTTTATTTACTATGCACTTAGACTATGCACTTTTTCTGAAATATTTTTGTAACACTTTTTTGTATTTTTGCCATTTGAAAAGGTTGTGGTGTCATTGGTCTGTAATTAAGTTGCAGGTTTAAAACTGCTGTTAGTTTTGTGAATCAGAATATAGAGATGTTTTTGTTCTGGTATGTTGTCCCATCTGCAGCTGGAGCTGGAACTAGCTACCACTCATTTTCTTCAAAGTTCACAAAGAAGAGTGTGAAACTCAGTGAATGCTGTTACTAATCCTGTCTGGAAATGAATCTCATTTCACCAAATTGTTTTTCCACTAAAATGATGGTATACGTTGAAGACACATCACTTTGAAGTTGGAAGACCTCACCACTAAAGGCTCCACAGTCGCTGACTCAGCTGAACTCTAGGTTGCCATTCTTTTCTTTGTTCACCCACTGGGTGATGCAGCTTTTTTAAATGTTGGGAGATTGCCATTCTAACTACTGTTGAATGTCTCTGTTTTGGGAAGGTATGATAAGAAAATAAAAAAAATATATATGAAGGGGGAGGCTGGTTGTCTCCCATGTGGTTGTGCATATGCTCTTACAACCCACAAGTGGAATATAGGTTTGCCTTTGCTGTGATTTCCTCTCTGCTTTTAGTCTATCATATTGTAAATATTTCAGAGTGTACTGTAATAGGACATGAATTGTTATAAATCATGAACCACAGAGATGGTGTAGTCTTAAGCCAGTAGGCTGTTTTCCCTGAAAATTGCTGGGATAATAAAGAATAGTTTATTGTAATTCAACTAGAATGAGCCATGAGGATTGCAAAAGGGACCATTGAAGCATCTTTACCTGAAGATTTCGCAACATCTAGTGTAGGTGCGCTAGAAGTGTCCCTCTTCTGACTAGTCTGCTTTTGGGGGGATGGGGGGACGTTTTGTTTTTTGTCTTTTTGAGCCAAACTGGTTTGTAAGGTGATGACCAAGGTGTGAAGATGTCTGTATGACATGTAACTAAGATCAAAAATATGTGTGTGGTGGGGGACTGTGTCCAGTGCTCATCGTGCTACATCCCCAGCCTATGTGTTGCCTTAAAGTGCCACTGATAGGTAGCAATTTCATTGTGTTGCTGTTGGCAGCATATTGAGACACTTTGGTGTAGTACCCAAGGATTTTTAATGACGTTCTCCTTCCCTATTTGGAACAATGGCAAGCATAGTAGGTATGTATTTTGGTGGTGAGAATTGTTTGCTTAGTAGCAACTGAGCACAAAGCCTGGAGCCTTATGCCTGAACTGGGTAAAGACCAACTATGAACTGGTTTACAGGTTTTCACAATACTGAAAAATGAAAATGTTGGCCTTGGTAGGCCTAGAGGAGGTGACACACCTTTGAATCCCAGCTCTGGAGGTGGTAGGTAGGTCCCTGGAAGTTGCAGGCCAGCCAGGGCTGCTTGGAGAGACTGTCCCAGGAGAAGGGAAAACTGGCAACCATGGCTCTTGGTAGTATCTAATTTTAGGACTAACAGGGCGGGGAGGATGTTAGTTTCGGACCATCCTTCGGTGCCAGAAAGGATCTCTCACACGAAGTGTGCATCTGTCAAAAGCACATGGGTCACTTGGATGCTTCAGAATGGCAGGGTCTGTGCCAGTTAGCAACAAAATACTAATGAGTGCTAATGGTGAGTCATTAAGTGAGAAATCAATGACCATCTTTTTACAGGAATGGGAGAAAAGTTCATTCTTGGATCTCAACAAATAAGGGCAGGCATGGAGCATATGCCTTTATCCAGTCAGGAGGTAGCACTTATTTAGGTCAATGGGCTGAAGAGAGACTGGTTTATGCCTGCAATTACAGTATTCAGGGGGTCTGAGGGGGTTGAAAGATCCATTTTGTGTACTATTTAGGTAGTGCTATCATTTTTAGTTCTTGTAAATCTTCAGCAGTCAATCTGGAAACTGGGACTACTTGTGGCTACCTTCTCAACAATGCTGGTTACCAGTGCTGTCAGTCATGACTTGATTTTGCAAACCTTCAACATTCTATGAAGCCCTTGCCTTTGCATGTGAGAGTACTGAAAGGCATGATATTGAAAGAAGAGTTATCGTTTGTTTTCTTCTCTGTGTATCCTTGGCTGTCTTGAAACTTGCTCTGTAGGTAGACCAGACCTGGAACTCAGAGATCTGCCTGCCTCTGCCTCTGCCTCCCAAATGTTGGGATTCAAGACGTGTGCCACCACTGCCCAGCTTCTCTTAAGTTCTTAATACCTTTATTTGATTTGGGTTTCCAGGCCTGGTCTTGACCTCTTGGGCTCAAGAATCTTCCCCTGCTTCATTGTAGACATAATCTGCAGTAGGATGACTTGTCTACTATATCTGGGTTTTGATGCAGGCAGGGACTCCACTTTCCTGTCATTGACATCTGCTTTTCACATGGGTGCTGGGGAGGTGCTTTGGTACAAGTTTTAATCTAACATGGTTGTAGCACATGTGTGCACCTTATTACTATGTTTGCTTGTGTGCTGGTTTTTTTTTAGGATTTTTTGTTTTGTTGTTTCAAGACAAGGTTTCTCTGTATAGCTTTGGAGCCTATCCTGGCACTCGCTCTGGAGACCAGGCTGGCCTCAAACTCACAGAGATCCACCTGCCTCTGCCTGAGTGCTGGGATTAAAGGCGTGTGCCACCAACGCCTGGCTGCTTGTGTGCTCTTATGAGCGAACTTTGTCTATTGAACATTTTTTAAAAAAACACTCATTGAAATAAAGAGGATGGATGGACTTGAAACAGAAGGCCTTGAGGTAGGTGAAAGAGGTATGTCAGTATGTCTGTAGTGTGAAATGGTTACAAGTTCTCCATAGTTACACTGCCTGGCATTGAAGTTTTTCAAGACACAGTCATGTAGCCTGGGATAACCTCAAATTCACTGTAGTGGAGGGTGCCTTGAACTCCTGATCTTGCTCCCTTGTGCTGGGATCATAGACGTGTCATCTAAGCATCAGGTCCACAAGAGGGGTAGGTTCAAGTTTATCTTTTATAAAAATGTCCTGACCCGTGTTTCACTCCCTAATAAGCTAGAAATGGTACACAGTGCTCAAGATCACCCGTCAAACTACATACCAAGCCAAAAACCATGATTTTGTCAAGACAGGCTCTCAGTGTGTAGATGAGATTGGCCTTGAACTCAGAGATCAGATGGGATTAAAGGCACGCACCATTATGTCCAGTGAGATGGTACTGGCACTGTATAAGCCAAAGTGGCTTTGTTACATTTTGTACCTTCCAACATGCTTCACCTTGTTATCAGCGATAAAGTCCTCTTGGGTGTTGGTAGTGAAAGAAAATATCAGCCTGCTTTGTACTTGACAACTTCATTAAATAGTAGTTAGGATTTTGGGGGGTTTTTCCTGGTTTGAGACAGGATTCCTGTGTAGCCCTGGCTGTCCTCAAACTTTCTGTAGACCATGTTGGCCTTGTCTCACAGATTTGCAAGCTCTGCCTCTCTAGGGATTAAAGGTGTGAGCCCAGTTACAGTACTTTTGACAAGTTAGGTAGATTTATGCTACAGTAGCAATCAGAAATACTGTGAATTCTGTTATGTGTAACAATTTTTTATTTTTGCTTGTGAGTATAATATACCATTAGAACATTTCTGTATGCCCAGGTTTATATTATTTGGTGTTACAAACTAGTGAGTAAACCGAAGGGAGTTTTTCTCCCTTTTACTTTAGAATACAGTGTCAAGTTTACTGAGCTGTTAGCCTTGGAGGCAGCTTCAAGCCTTTCAGGAGTACCCATTCAGTGTGTCGCTTACTGCCTCCATAGCTGTCATCTCCTTAGTCACAA